TATTGAGGAAGAATAAACAAGTTTTATTTAAGAAAGGACTTGTATCTTAGAAGAATTAACAAACACACATACAGAGACGTAACAATATAATGATTAATAAACATCTTTGAACCTCCAAGACTTTAGCTGTCTGGCCTTAAAATGTGCTGTGATTCAGGTACAAGGAACTCAAAAATTAACGCCATAATTGTCAAGCTTTCATATTGGTCTATTTATCAACACATTGGTGTCGATTTTTATATTTCTGCTCATTTCAACCTGTAGTTTACAGTTTTTTATATTATGTGTTAAAGTACATACACTTTGTGATCTGTAACTAAAATACTAGTGTATATAGTTTATATCATGTGCTTTAAAATATTCAGCCATTTTGATAAAAGACAAGAAGAAAAACTACACACGAAACAAATGCTTTTAGGAAAACACTGATTAGGGTGTTGGATGATAGTGTTGGGTAGTGACGTGCGGTTAGGTCATGTAGTGAGAACCTAATCAATCAATTAATGTACACATTACTCAAAAATGTAAAAAAAAAAACAAAAGACGAAATATAAGAGTACATACTGTTGTACAGTGTTATTGCTACATTTCTGGTTTTATAATTGGTAATGCAGTGCATGCTTTGATTGTACACCACGGTAACGTAAAGACTCTAAACCCTTGGGCAACTTAATATCCCAACATTTCTGGACAAATGTTTTATATAAAAATTTTACAATTTTTATGCTTTTTCCCAGTACATACATTGAATGAAAGGTTACCTTTCAAATATGGTGAACTGTACCATTTTACAAAACTTCAAACTGATCAAATTATAACTATTGTAATAGTTCATTCCAAAATAAAAGGGTATTTTCAGTCGTTTAATAAAACTAACTACACAAAAACACGTGTGTTAACCATTGAAAAACAATTTATTGGCTCTGAGAAAATAATCGCATAAGTTGCATTACAACTTTAAAGCAACAAAAACATCAACTTTGAAATTCAATATCATAGCCAAAGTTAACTTACAAAAAATTTCATAAAGCAAATTAACATATGAAATATATATATATAAAAGAAATACCATTAATGCTAGAGAGAGTTATAAAACAGACTTAATCCTAAATAATAGATGCATTGATCAGAGATATATGTTTATCTAGAGAGTAATACAACAGCAAAATTATTATTGTCTTAAATTTTTCAGGCACCTTTCTTTTACTAATACACAGTTACATTTAACTTTGTTCCTTTACACATAACTCCTACTTTTTGTTTCAGCCACAAGTCATAACCAGACTATCACAAATAAACAACTTCTGAGGTTTTCTTACAGTCAATGGTATACTGATGAAAGCAAATAATAAAATCAAAGAAAACAATTACAAATTTTAGGGAAATAAAATTCACACAAGTATTGAATGTAAAATATTTTCCTTCTTTAATTTTTATTTAGCCATTATACTTGTTCGTTTTAGTATCATTTTCTCTTTAATAACTATTAGGAGGAGTATCAAGTTTATAAGTAAATATTTCAATTAATTACTTTTATATAATTAAAACTACTCTAATCCTTAATCTAGAATTACTTGACTAGAGCCAATGAATGAAATATTTCTTGTGAAAATTATGAATTTTATTTCTATTTGGTTCTTCCAAACGAGTAACATTTAGGAACTCTTTCTGATAAATAGACTGTAATTAAGGGGCTAATTCATGAAATTTGTTTTAAAGTAAACTCTGTAGCAATAGGCTATCTGAGATCTGCCTAGCATTGGGAATCAAATCCTGAATTGTAGTGTTGTAAGTGTATAAACTTACCACTTACCCACTGGGGGACCACTAAATGTTACAAATAAGTGTGTAAAGACAAACCACAAGCTAGCTAGACGCTCCAAGTAATTGAAAATCAAGCTTAGCTATACAGGAGTTTGTTATAAATGAATTTTACACTTATAACAAATATATTTATTTAACATAAGGTTGATTGGATTTATTGTTGTTAAGCACAAAACTAGTCAATGAAACCCAATTATTAGTATTGTAAGCTTGCAGACTAACTATTGAGCCAGTGGTGGGCTTTTGACATAAGTAGTAGAAAACTTATAAAAGATAATATAAAATTTATACAGCAAATAAATAAAGAATGATTCTAAGATTATTTATATGATTACATATATAAAAAGTTAAAATATTTTCATGTTAGTGTAATTTCACTAAAATTGTTGAAACACAAACTTAAGCAAGTTTTTGCAATTAACAAAAGAGGAATTTCAGTAAACACACTAAAATTTCACACCATACCCACCAGAGTAAGACCAAAAACGTACAATTAAAAGTAGGTAAATTTTCTAACACAAATAAACAAGAGCAGCCAGCATCACCTTCCATCCAAACAAGAGCAGTCAGTGTCACCTTCCATCCAAACTAGAGCAGTCAGTGTCACCTTCAATCCAAATTAGAGTAGTCAGCATTCCTTCTATCCAAACTAGAGCAGCCAGCATTCCCTTCCATCCAAACTAGAGCAGCCAGCATTCCCTTCTGTCCAAACTAGAGCAGCCAGCATCTCCTTCCGTCCAAACAAGAGCAGTCAGTGTCACCTTCCATCCAAACTAGAGCAGTCAGTGTCACCTTCCATCCAAACTAGAGCAGTCAGTGTCACCTTCCATCCAAATTAGAGTAGTCAGGATTCCCTTCCATCCAAACTATAGCAGCCAGCAT